GCTTGCATGTCTAGTAACATGATTAGTCTTGTGTTATTATATATGTTTTTGATTTGATCCTGAGTCGGCCGACTTTTTTGGAACGGTTTGGTTTATCGACTAAAAGCAAAAATGCATGTTGCGTAGGAGAACATTCCCATCGAGGAAGTTTTCACGGCGTTGAAGTGTTCGAGGGAAGGGCTAACGAGCGATGAAGGAAACAAGAGGCTCGAGATCTTCGGGCCCAACAAGCTCGAAGAGAAAAAGGAGAGCAAGTTTCTCAAGTTCCTTGGATTCATGTGGAACCCTCTCTCGTGGGTTATGGAATCGGCCGCCATCATGGCCATTGTCTTGGCCAACGGCGGGGTAAACATCAAGTTCTCGTCGAGTCGTTCGCTCGTTTATAACGAAACCTTCAAACAAAAGTATTAATATTAGTTCTAAACATTTTCGATAAAAAAATAAATAAAATTTGCAGGGCAAGCCTCCCGACTGGCAAGACTTTGTCGGCATAGTCGTGTTGCTCATCATCAACTCGACTATCAGCTTCATCGAGGAAAACAACGCTGGAAATGCCGCGGCTGCCCTCATGGCCGGCCTTGCCCCCAAGACCAAGGTCCCGTTTTTTCGAGCATCTACTCTTTTTTTTTTTTCGTGTTTAGGGAATATATCAAAGAAAGAAAACAAAAAGAAAATTATAATAATCGCAGGTTTTGAGGGACGGCAAGTGGAGCGAACAGGAGGCCTCGATCCTAGTCCCGGGAGACTTGATCAGTGTGAAGCTCGGTGACATCATCCCGGCCGATGCTCGTCTCCTCGAGGGCGATCCCCTGAAGATCGACCAGTCGGCCCTAACGGGCGAGTCACTACCCGTCACCAAGCACCCGGGCCAAGGCGTCTACTCAGGCTCCACCTGCAAGCAAGGTGAGATTGAGGCTGTTGTTATTGCCACCGGAGTCCACACCTTTTTCGGAAAAGCTGCCCATCTTGTCGACAGCACCAACAATATCGGCCACTTCCAAAAGGTATGCCAGAGTCGAAGCTTGTCGAGCCTACAAAAATTGTTTCTGAAAATCTCTAGTTTTTGGTAGTAATGGAAATTTTGTCATGCAAAATGGCTATACCAATTCATACTTCCACCAAAAGTGGCTATATTTCATTTTGTATTTGCTACTTGGCAATAAAACCAAGGGGTTGTTCACTTGTTCCTGAAAATCCAATTTTTAGAAGTAAGAGTAATTGTGTCATTTCACAACAACAAGACAAAGTGATAGTTATTCATACTTCTACAAAAAGTGGCATATTTGATCTCTTTTGCATATGCTACTTGGCTATAAAACTAAGGGACTGATTTGAACAGGTGTTGACCGCGATTGGTAACTTCTGCATATGCTCGATTGCGGTCGGCATGCTTATCGAGATCTTGGTAATGTACCCGATTCAGAAGAGGAACTACAGGCAAGGGATCGACAACTTGCTCGTCTTGCTTATTGGTGGTATCCCGATTGCCATGCCCACGGTTCTTTCCGTGACCATGGCCATCGGGTCCCACAGGCTCTCCCAACAAGGCGCCATCACAAAGCGGATGACTGCCATTGAAGAGATGGCCGGCATGGACGTGCTTTGCAGCGACAAAACTGGAACTCTTACGCTCAACAAGCTAACGGTCGACAAGAGCTTGATCGAAGTTTTCCCGAAGAACGTTGACAAGGATAATGTTGTCCTAATTGCCGCCAGAGCTTCTCGGGTCGAGAACCAAGATGCCATCGATGCTTCCATCGT